ACACACACACACACACACACACACACACACACACACCACCAGCATGACTCTTTGTGTCTTCCTTTGTTCATGTTCATTTGGCCCAATCGTTGTGTTTTACTGCATCTTCTGCCCCCCTTTAATTCTTCCCTCGTCCACTTCTTCTTCCTCCTCCTCCTCCTTACGACTCATCCTCTCATCTCCCTCTCTCTTCTCCCACTCTCCTCCCAGGGCCCAGACCAATGCGTAAAATGCCTCCACTTCAAAGATGGGCCCAACTGTGTGGAGAAATGTCCCGACGGGTTGCAGGGCGCCAACAGCTTCATCTTCAAATATGCCAAAGCCAACAACGAGTGTCACCCCTGCCACGCCAACTGCACCCAAGGGTAAGAGTGGAATGATACATGAAGATATGCTTCAGATCTCGGAAAACTTCAGCCGTTTTTCATTTTTATCTGTTCGGCGGACACTCTCCAGGCGTGCTGCACCACTCTCTCCCTCTGTCCCCAAGGAGAAAAACCAAAGGGTTTGTTCCATCTTCTGACCTGCAGGGGCCTTCCTGTCAGGGGCACAATGCGTTGACCCTAAAGGTGCAAAAAACAGATCCACTTTGAGTGAAGGGATGGGTGTAGACCTATAGCAKAAGGGAGGGGAGATGTGAAAGTCAGCAGTGGTGTCAGCTGGGGGAAATGATAAAGCAGACAAAGAGGAAGAGCTTTAGATAAAGGAGCAGGTAGAACAATTGAACAAAAGCCTGCATTCACAGGAGGTGCAGGAGGGTCAGATTCACTTCATTATGAAGTGTTTTTGTAGCTGGCACTGATTTCTCACTGCAGTGGTAAATTAAAACAAAAGATTCATTCTTGGTAAAGATAATAAAGATAAACCCATTTTAATGGGGTAAGCAGCTGGTTAGAGGGCTGAAAGATGGAAAAAGTCCAGCTAATCTGTAATTAGACTTATTTACTCAGCAGTCTTTAAGAAATGATTTTGAAAAGCAGAACTCAAACCAAACTATCATTCTGAACGTAAACTAATARGTTTTGTTCCCAAACCTAATCTGTTCTTTTCCTTAAAAAAACATTAATTTGAAGCATTGCAACACCGCTAATCTTTATAGTAGGAGATTTTTTTAGTTTTTGGTGGATAAAATATTTCTGCAACCAATTTGTCATTTTATAGCAAGCTGCTCTTTGACAGGGATGTCTCAGAAACAGTAGGGGGTTTAGTTTATAGACCTTGTCATCATTTGAGAAAGCTTACCCTTTTCTCTTTATCATACAGTATTGTGGCTTTTTGCAGTCCATATTAGGTTCTGGTCAGATTGTACCTCCATTTCATACCCAGTGCTTGTTTTATTTTGTACCAACTGATACTTACTGATTACCGCTTTCATTCATGCACTTACCATATATATACTGTGTATCTTTATCTTAATCTTTATCTACAGTGAGGAAAATGTAATGGTTCAAACAGTGCACAAAATTGCTCTCTTTTCAAACCTTCTTGACACAAAATCAAGTTTKTTCATGGTGAAAGTTTGGCATTCCCCCAGGGCTGTATCTTGTCTCCGATCCGCATTRTGGTGTTCATCATCAAGGGTCTCAAAGTGCATTGATGGAGGGTCTTGTGTCTGATTTCTTGAAGACAACATGGTTTTGKCGGGCCATGATTTTCTGCATGCACTGGGCCGGCTGAGATGAGAGTCTGCTCCTCTAAGTCCAAGTCCTTGTTTCCCAA